GCAAAGAAAAGGGTTTTGGAGCCAGTCATGGTAGGTCAGAGTCCTGACTCCGGCTCACTTCCAGAGTCGGGTGGCCTGGTGTAAGTCATCTGATTCCTCCAGGACTCAGCCCCAACTGATGGAGCTGGTAGGTGCTGGAAGAAAGAGCAGGTTTTCACTTCCCATGAAGAGTTATAGTCTCAGACTGTGACCCACAGGGCCACTCCCACCCTGGCCTATGAGGTCCCTATGTAACAGACCCGACTCAACAGCTCTAAGCTTGGGCTTGGTTGGGTGCTGGGCGCCAGGGGGCTGAAGGAGACCTCAATCTCTGTGCCTTCTTGGTTATAACTCTTAGCACGTGCATCCGTTTCTGACTGCTGCAGTCACCAATTGCTACCAGGGCGGTGGCTTCCAGTAATACATCTGCAGTCCCTTACAGTCCTGAAGGGTGGGCATCTGAGACGAAGCCCGTTGGGCCGATACCATGCGTTTGCACTTGGTGGCTTGCAGCCCCTTCCTCCCTCTTCAAAGCTCACCACTCCCACCTCCACTGCGTTTGTGGGATCTCCTTCTCAGCAGTATCCCTTCTCTTTCCTAAGGACAGCCGGGACGGCACCGGGCCCACCTGGGTAATCCGGAATAACCCTTCCATTTCCACACCCTCCACGGAATCACCTCTGCCAACGTCCTCTTGTCTCGGAAGGCAATCTGTCAGGGGGCCCAGGGATCAGCGCATGGCTATATGTCCCCGGAGAAGGATGTGCTTGGTAAAGTAGAGGGGCAGCCAGAGAGGAAGCCCCTCCCCCCAACAGGATGGACACAGTGGCTGTAACAATGGGCTCAAACATGGGAACGATCAGGAGGATGGCGCGGGACTGGGCCGTGTTTCCTTCTGTCGTGTGGAGCGCATCGCTGTGGGTCGCCGCAGGCTCGAGGATCCCTGAGAACAGCAGCCTTGCTCAGCCACGGCTGCAGTGGGAGCATCACCCAGCCCAGCTCACCATCCATGTCACCCTGCACTTGCTGTCTGTGCCATCCATGTGTCTGGACGGGGATGGGCCCGGCAGCTAGCCGGCCTGTGTTTGCTGCGTGCTTGCTGTGGGCTGAATGGTGTCTCCCCCAAATGCATGTTGGAATCCTTCCCCCTGTGCAGAAGATGATCCTGTTTGTCATATCCGTGAGGCCATCTCCAGTGTAGGGACCAGCCTATTCATCAGCACTTCTGAGCAAGCAAAAGAGCAGGTTAGACGTGGGGAGAAGCACCAGCAGGGCCCTGAGGTGCCACGTGAAGACTACCAGGGAACGGCGGTGGGGTATCGGCGCTACAGAAGCCGGGGGAGACAAAGGCTGACCCCCACGGCTGCTGGCACAGAGAGGGCCTTCCCCTAGGGCTGGCATCATGGAATTGAGCTTCCAGCCGCCTCAACTGCGAGGGAATACATCCCTCTTCTTTAAAGCGACGAGCACGTGTGATACTTCTACTACAGCCGTGCCTGGGGACCAAGACCCTGGATGAGTGAGGGCGTATGTAAGGGGGTGGAGCAGCTGAAGTGGGTGGCCCTTTGGTTTTGAACGGGAGGCAGCGACTAGTCGCTTTACCAGGATTGGTGTGTTTGCCGAGCGGTCTTCTCGGTAGAATGGACAGGTCGTGAAAAGGCCCCGAGGCATGGGCTGAGAAGTGGATGCATGGGGGAAGCAGCGGGGGGCCAGGGTTGGGCAGTGGGTGGTCAGGTCTCGGTGAGCCAGGGTGGTCCAGAGAACCTGGGTTTTAATGGATGGAGACTCCCGTGAGCTTCAGAATCAGCACCCGGGCTCCAACCCCAGCACAGTCACTTCCAAGCGGCAGGACCCTGGGGAGATCGCAGGACCCAGTGGGACGGTGGCTCTGTCGACCAGTGCTGAGGAGCGGAGGACCGTGAACGCTTGCAAAGCACTTAGCACAGCGCTTGCAAAATACACGTACGTACGTACGTATGCGCACGCGCGCAGGTCAGAAAGTATCTGATGCTGTTAGTCCTGTTACTCTGCTGCTGCTGCTACAGAACCTTTAAGGAATGTCCGCTGGGCAGTGGCCTGGTCAGGTCGACCTCTTAAAAAGATGACTCTCACAGTCACGTGAATCCATGGGGCGGTGAGGTGCCCTCCTGGAGGCCCCACCACCATTGGGAAGTGAGTTAGTTTATTGTGCCAACCTGGCCGATAAACACATGTGGGATTAATTGAAGGGCGGAGGGATAAATGGCTTAGTGAGCCTCGCCTTTCTAGTTCTCAGGTCTCTTGCTTTGTGATGGTCGCAACAGGGTGCAGCTGCCTTAGCAGTTCCCAGCTTCAGCTTGCAAGGCTGACTTCCCACAAGACATCCCCAAGGAGAAGCCACATGGACCTACCCTGATGCAGCCCTGGATGCTGGAGCAGCCGTGTGGAGACCCCTGCCAGTGCTGAGATGCTTACACATTCACTGACTCAACTTTTCTCTTGCAGCCTGCATCATTATGTCTGCTTTGTGAGATGGAGGAGGACTTTGTGGATTGGTGTTGGACATACAGGTTAATGGGTTAATGTTGGACTTGTAGGCTTGGGCAGCACTGGGTTGGGATGTTTTCTTGATGCTCACTTAACCTTATATAAAACTCTCTTATTCATGAGTTTCTGTGAACTTGTTTCTCTATAGTACCCAGACTAATACAGGAAGTGATTCACATCGCCAAGGTGGGCGGCGGGGACAGTAGGGAAACGGTGGTTGAGTCGGAGCCTCCTGCGAGGGGCAGGCACATCAAGCCCAGCCAGCGCCGAGCAGCGTGTGGAGGCTATGTGTTGTTGCAAGGGGGAGCAGGTTCCCGGGGGGCTTCGGGACTCTGAGAGTCTCTAGGAAGAAATAGCTGGCAGTCTAGTTCTGGACTACCAGGCTAAGAAAACCCAGTGGACCACACACAGTGATGGGGTCCCGGCTGATGGTGGGGGCCGGTGCGTCATCCTGTCTGCGTGGAGTTGCCACGACTCTACTGTGGCCTCCGGGCACAGAAGTTGGGGAGCAGAGATGTATGTCATGGCATAGAGGGCCGGAGAGACATTAATAGTCCTTGGGCTGTTTTAGAGAGGACTCTTATTCCCCTGTTTCTTCTCTGCTTGAAATGGCTTCAGGTGGTACGGTAGAGACTGTCTAAGGCAGCAGTTCTCAACCTGTGGGTCTCGACCCCTTTGGGGGTTGAGCGACCCTTACACAGGGGTCACCTGATTCTTAACAGTAGCAAAATGACAGTGATGAAGTAGCAACGAGAATAATTTTATGGTTGGGGGGTCCCCACCACATGAGGACTGTATGAAAGGGCCGCCATATTAGGAAAGTTGAGAACCACTGGTCTAAGGCGAGCCTCCAGGTCCTTGCTTCCCAGATAGCACATCAGGGGGAAGACCCTGACCAGTCTCCAGGGTGACAGAGGGGAAACCCCAGCCTGGTGCTGCAGAGTGGGTATGTGGGGGAGAGATGGGGCTGGAAGAGTCTCCTTAGGGGAGTTTGTTTTCTCATCGTGGGGGGCTCCCAGCTAGCCTCTCCTGCTCTGAACAGCTCATTCTAGCTGATTCTCCCGCCAGTCCCCACAGGGACACCCACTGAATCCCTGCTTCGTAGCAGCGTGGGGACTCTGTGGCCTCCAGCTGGACAGCCAGCCTGACAGAGGGACCAAGAGCTCACGGTGTTCCAGCACCAGGGAAATGAACCTGGAGCCCAGGGAAGTGGGTGTGCTGGGCCTGGCACGGCGTGCCCTGCATGGTCTTCCACTCACGCCCCTTCACGCAGCTTCCAGGGGAAACCAATTCAATAGAACACACCAGAGCAAAGTCCCAATTGTCCCTTCAATCACCTCACCCCTGCAGGGATGTGGGAGGAAAATATACGTCAATGCCATGTTCAAAAGGGCTGTCAGCTTGTTGTTTTGTTTCTTCATCATCCATGGGCTTTCATAGAGTGATATCATATTGTTATTTTTAATACAAGTCTTTAGGGGGAAAAAAGTCCTCTAACTTCTATTCAAAACCCAAGCATGCTGGAAGACAGAGATGGGGAAAAGTAGAGAGAGAGCTAAAATCACAGGCACGGGCCCTTTGAGGACGTTCTGAGTTCAGTTCAGTGCACCTGAGTCGCAGGGTTATGGTTCAGGGCACGGACAGACATTCGAGGCTTTTCAGAAACGGCGTCTGAGTGGCTGCAGAGCCCTCAGCAGAACGCTGCAGTAAAGAAAACAACAGGAGGGGGCGAAACAGATGATTCCAAGAACTTGATGTGTGTGTGTGTGTGAGCAGCACCACAGCTCCTCACTAAATGAGCCTGCATTCAGTTCCTGGCAATATTAAGTGGTGGCTACCAGTCTAATTGGCCAGTGAGTGTGTGTGTGTCCAGAAACAGGAAAGGGAGTATTGATAACAGGAGGATAGGGGGAAAGTGGGGAGGGGAGGGGAGGAAGGGGGAACCGATTAAACCGATTACAATGATCGACACATAACCACACACAGCCCCGCACCTCCAGAGGGACAAACAACAGAAACTGGGGGTGGGGGTGGGATGGGAGACAGCGGTTGGTGTGATATAAGAATATAATAATAATTTATAATTTATCCAGGGGTTACAAGGTTAGGAGGGGAGGGGAAAAAAGAGGAGCTGATACCAAGGGTTCAAGCAGAAAGTCAATGTTTAGAAAATAACGATGGCAGTATATGTACAAATATGCTGGGTCCAATCGATGTACGGGTTGTTGTCAGAGCCCCCAATACAATGATCTTTTAATAACAATAATACAAAGGAGACAGGGTTGGAAGGGACCTTGGAGGCTGTCTGGTCCTATCCAGGATGGAGCTTGCTGTCTAGAGAGGGCAGCAAGGCCACACCCGGAGTGGTAGGGTCCCCAGGAAGGAGAAGAGCTGTGTCCTGAAGGGCCCCTGCAGCGCACCTTCTGTTTTCTTTGCTCTCTCTCTCTCTCATTCTCCTCTGCTGCACTGACGTTTTTTTTTCTCTCTCTCTCTAGGAAAAATCAAATGCCAGTGTCTGACAAGGCAGATGATGACCTGGGTGTCCTACAGCTGGGTAGGTGTGGCTGGCGCCTTCGGGTGGGTCCCAGAGGGTCTGTGTTCATTCTCTCTGGAAGTTGGTGGGTGCCAGGGGACCCTCCACTGGCCAGGTGGGGGTTCCTGTCCCCCCTCCGTGATGACCTCAGGAAGGAGAGCTGGCCTGGGCAGTAGAACAGGTTTTTTTGTTTTTGGTCCCTCCCCACCCCCCAGCCCCATTGAAGACACATCACCTGTCTTTCTCGCCTAGAGAACCCCGTCCAGAAACCTGGCCACTTCTGCACCCACACGAATTTCCAGGGGCGTCCTCTCTGAATCTGGAGGCTCTCTGAGGGCCAGAGGATGGTTCTCAGTTAAAATGTCAGTACAGCTCTGCCTGAACCAGGCCCACCCTTGCAAAAACAGAGACACGCTTTCCTGGGGGCGGGCACGTGAAGCCCACCTGCCAGTCAATTGTGTGGTAGGAGCTTTGCCTCCTGCTGTGGCACACAGAACTGAGCCCCTGGTACTGCAAAGGCCAGCAGCCTCACCCGCTGGACGGCTGTCCACGGAGCTTCCAGACCAAGGCAGAAAAGGGAGGAAGAAAGACATGTGTTGTCTCTCCAGCACTTAGCCAGGTAGTGACTGGAGAAAGACCCTGTAGATCCAATCAGGGTGGAACTCTGTCTGCTGGCCCCAAACGAGCCCGGGATGTGGCTGAGGGCACAGGAGCAGATGGTGTCTGGTTGGGTTAGCCGTGGGCTGGGCAGCAGTGCCTTACTCCCCGGTGGCTGGTGTGTGTGCCAGGAGATGACCGGGGAGGGACAGCTCAGTGACTGCAGATGGAAGGATGGGGCAGGGGGCTCTCCACCACCGGTCCCCTTCTGGAAGCTGTGGCTCTGGGCTGGCCACGGCAGTGTGTCATGTGACGTTTGACCATTTTGGCATCACATAGCTGTCGGCGGGCTTTTTCCGCTCCCTTTTAAGCACTTCCTTTTAAGCTGACAAAAGGAAGCACTGCTCCCTCCAGAAGTTCTTGGCATTGGCCTTGACGGAGCTGAAAGGCAGGGGAGGCCAGTGAGTGAGTGGAGCATGTGTTGACTCTGCTCAGCCCCCTTCTGCCTCCCCAGGCCCCTTCTCTGCAGAAATGGCTGCTGGGCGGATCTCACAGGCAGGCTGGGGAGGGCCTGGTGGGGTGCAGTCGGGAAGCGCTGGCACCAGGACCTCTCTGTGGAGCCTGCACTTGAAGGGTGTCCAGGGAAAGCATTCCTGCTTGGATACAAAGAGAAGCGGTTCCCGGTTTTCAGCCCCAGAAAGCTTCTGCGGGAAGAAAGGCTTTTAGTCATCCTCTCAGCAGCCAACTGTTTGAAGTGTGTGTGTGTGTGTGTGTGTGTGTGTGTGTGTGGGAGAGCGCGCGGGAGAGAGAGAGAGAGAGAGAGAGAGAGAGAGAGAGAGAGAGAGAGAGAGACATTGTGTGTGTGATCATGCAAGTGCATGCACGTGTGTCTTGCGTGAGTGCGCGAATGTGGGGATGAGTGAGCGAGTGCTTGTGTTTGAGTGTGAGTGTGTGTATGTGCCTCTGTATGTGAGTGTGTGAATGTGTGTGTGCATGTGAGAGTGTTGAGTCTGTGTGTCAGTGTGTATGAGTGTTGAATGTGAGAGCCTGTGTGTACATCTGAGTGTGTGTGGTGTGAGCATGGGAATGCGTGTGTGTGTGTGTGTGTGTGTGTGTGAGTGTTGAGTCTGTGTGTCAGTGTGTATGAGTATTGAATGTGAGAGCCTGTGTGTACATCTGAGTGTGTGGGGTGTGACCGTGGGAATACGTGTGTGAGTGTGAATAAGTGGATGTGTGTGTCTGTGTGTGCATGCATCTGAGTGTACCATCGTGTGAGTGTGTGTGTACGCGCGTGACTGTGGTGGGGGCTGTTTGAGGGCCTGCATTCTCCTGAAGGAGGCAGACCTCTACACGCCCCTGAGGTTACAAGTTAGCAAAGGAAAAGAGGAAAGAAGGTGGTTCTGGAAGCCAGACTCCAAGAGACGCTATTGGAGGGGCACAGGGAAGAAGCCCTGGGCTAGGACAAGGAGCGTGATCTGCTCTGAGCAGTAGCCTCGCTCGGCCCACCCCAGCCCGCTGTCCTTTGGACCCATAGTCTAGCAAACGTGTTCCGGGATGTGCCAGGCCCCGTGTATGCAGCTGTATTGCCAGTGGAAAGAGGTGACTACAAAGGGATCCTGCCTTCTTGGCGGGGAGCCCTGGTGGCTTCATGAGTGGAAGGTGGGGCTGCTAATCGGGAGACCGACAGTTTGAACCCCCCCACTATCCTGGGGCAGAGAGATGAGGCTCTCTGCTCCCAGGGAGACTGACAATCCTGGGCGCCCACGGGAGCAGTGCTACTCTGCCCTGTGGGGTTGCTTTGTGTCCGGATTACCTCGACTGGCAGAGGGAGTGGGGGACAGTGGAGAGGAGGAGTCCTCCAGGTACAGCACACCCACCGGATCCGGGGGAGCTCCCCGCTGCTTCCACAGAGGAACTCGCCGAGCCCTGGCTGTGTGCGCTGCAGGGCTGCAAGCTGGGCATTGAAGGGTGGGCACGGTTTTGACAAGTCCCGAGCTGTGGGGGGAGGTAAGAAACGGTGATTGGCTGATGGGTCAGTGGGAGGCAGGCCTGGCGCCAGGTGAGGATGACCTTGAATGAGGTGCTTAGGGGGTTAGCTGTGAGGCTTTAGACGGGAAGTAGCCCTTGGAGAGTCTGTGCAGATGAGTGATACCCAAGCTGAAACCTCTAGGAATGTGCACAAGATGGATTTTTAAGGGGAAGCCCCTGGGTCCTGGGGGACTGATGCTGGGCTCTTTGCACAGTCTAGAAAAGAGGAAGAGGCCCCTGTGGTGCCCCGAGAACCCCCCAGCGTATCTGCAGACCTTGCCGAAGTCCACCTCTGATGAGAAATGCTTGGGTGGAACAGACAGTGCACATGCTCATGGAGGCCTCTGCAGTGCCGACCTGCCCACAGGTGTCTCCGAGGACAGGCGTGGGTGCGGCTCCAGTCTCACTCTGCACACGCGGGGGGCTGCCAGAGTCGAGAAGACAATTTTACTGATTTTTACCAGCTGGGAAGTGTCCTTGCTCTTGTTAATGGCCTCTTCCTGCTTTACTCTTGAAGTGTTTGTACTTGACTCTGTGTTAGCACGTATGTGGTTATCATCCTAGGGCCCTGGGAGTGTAGCGGGTTACCCATTGGGCTGCTGACCCGTTGGGCTGCTGACTGAACCCGTTGGTTCAGCAATTCAAAACCACCAGCCGTTCTGTGGAAGAAAGACGAGGCTTCTTACTCCTGTCAAGAGTTGTAGTCTGGGAAGCCCACCGGGGCAGTTCCATCTAGCCCTATAGGGTCGCTGTGAGCCAGCATCAACTTGATGGCAGTAAGTTGAGTGTTTTGAGTCTCCCCCTCTAGGCAGTGGTTATCCTAGACATGTGAGGTGGTGTCTTAATCATCTCTGGACCTCCTCTGTCCCTTGTAGCCCCTGGCATCCCAAGAGTTCAATCAAGTACTTGATGGGCATGTACGGAAATAATGGGCCTATGCCCATAATGGTGGAGGGGGACCGGAAGGGACAAGATATGAGACATGTTGGGGTCGGCACAATCCAGTAGTGCGAGAGGTTTCCACCTAGATCATTGGAGGGATGGGAGGTGGGGGTAGAGATAGGGGTCTTCTATCCAAATTGGAAGCTGGGAGGAGGTGCTGGGCTTCGATTCCTGGGTTTCCAGTGTTGAGGCACTTTCCGGGTATGCTATACGATGTGCAATAATATTCCAGTTCCCGCTTTACGACCTGTTTGAGTTCCAAGGAACCAGAACTCCGACCATCGGTTTTTGTTCACTTTCATATCATTCGTATGGATACATAGAGTGTCATGGTGGGAAATTGATGGGTGCTATCCCTCTCATGCCAACCCCAAAGACACGCCAGGACCAGCTCGTACCTATGCCAACACTGCTATTTTTACGAATTAATATGCTTACATAAGTGCACATCTATGTTTATACGTCTACCCATAGCTTTGCTTCCTCTGTTTCCTTTTACCTTCCACCTTTCCCACCATCACACTCGCCCCGGGGGAAGGGAGAGAGCATTCGGTGTAAGAAATGAAATGAATAATAATTTATAACTTATCAAGGGGTCATGTGGGTGGGAGGGTAAAAAGAGGAGTTGATACCAAAGGCTCAAATAGAAAGTAGATGTTTAGAGAATAATGATGTCAACATATGTACAAATATGCTTGATACAATTGATGTATGGATTGTTCTAAGAGCTTGAAGTGCCCCCAATAAAATGATCTTTAAAAAAAAAAAGACACTGGTAACAAGATGCAATAATAAGGAAAAGCTGAAAGAAAAAAATAATGAGGTGTTTGGTTTACATCAGCACCCACTCGTGAGTGAGTGGATGAAGTGGGAGCCCCCCAATACCCACCCCCCATCCATCCTAAGTCCAGGATCCCTGTGGCCAGTGAGAAACACTGGGCCCAGAAAAGGGCCCACAGAACCCACCGAAGGAATATAGCCCCTTCTGTGACTCTACCTCCCTCTGAACAGGAATCTCAGTCTGTTGTTTTCTAGCCCCCGCTACTGAGGCTAAGTAACACAGTATGGGAAACCAACCCCTTGCTTCATGTTTAACCAGGCATTTAGACCAGGGCCTTAAAATAGCCCTCATAAACCACTGGCATCTGCGGCCGGTTTGGTCCGCTTGGCCAACATGTCATTCTGGAGTGCTTTGATTTTCCCTTGCATGGCAGTCCCGCCACAGTGGGGGCCTGGGGCCGGTTCTCCACCAGCTCCCTGCACTGGGCCAGCCTCCTCCAGGCAGCAGCCTAGGGAACATGCCCCTCCCAGGGGCTTCACGGGGACACACAGACTTTCCGTGCGGCCTGGCCCCAGCCCCAGCTGCAGCAGGCATCCCTCCCTGACAGCCTCAGAGGAAGCAGAGGCCTCCAACTAGGCTTAAACACCACTCCTTTTCTGAGCCCTGGAAAGGTGCTTTTCGGGGCCCAGGGGGCCACATCCTCCTGGGCCTCAGCTGCAGAAGCCGGAATGCACCTCACTTCCCTGTTCCTTGAGCAGGCGCGGCACTGATCTGGCCAAAGCCTGCCCAGCGGCCACCTCTCCCGCTTCCTTCCATCCTCCCCTTGCCTCCTGACCTTCCCTCCCTGCCCCCTTGTGCCAGTCACCCCAACTCCCTTTTCTCCCGCTCTCAGTGCCCCCAACTTCCTCCCTCTCTTCCTTCTTTGTCTCCCTCATTTCCTTTTTCTTTCCCCCTTCCAGCCCATCTATCCCTCCCCCTTTTCCTCCCCTTCCTGTCTCTGCTCCATCCTTGATCCCCACCCCCTTTGCAGACGCGTGCAGTGTGGTCTGCTGTGACTGCAGCCTTCTGTCTCATGTGGTCCACCCCCACGCCCCCTGCTGCATCCCCACTCCCGTGTTTCCCCTCCAATCCATGCATGCTGCTGGGCGAGCATCTGGTCTTTATTTTAAGCTACTTTCTGTGGGCTGTGGCGTCAGGGTGGCTTTTCCTGAGACCCCAGCTCAGTAGGGCCTCCCCCTTGAACTGAGAATTCTCACCACCATTCCAGATTTATTTTTAAGTTTCCGTTGCAGCCCCGAGGAAGACCAGACTGCCTCCTCTCATACCATGCCCTGTGGCTTCAGGACCTCGCCTTGCCCTGTGCCTTGGTGCCAGAGAGGGGTAATCCATGGGCTTGCTCACCAGCCATTCCTCAGGAGAAAGATGAGGTGTTCTGCTCCCATAAAGATTTACAGCCTGTCCTCTCCCGCAGCATTGCTGTGAGTCAGAATTGACTAGCTGGCGGGGAGAGGGGCTTTGCTTTTTAGTGGCTGGCTCTTCTCTGGAGAGGGTTGGGGGAGAAAGCTCACGGCCATCCAGTTGATTCTGACTCACAACGACCCTGTAGGACAGAGTAGAACTGCCCCGGTGGGTTTCCGAGACTGTAACTCTTTAGGGCGGCAGAGAGCCTCGTCTTTCTCCACGGAGTGGCTGGTGGTTTCAAACTGCTGACCTTTGGTTACCAGCCCAACTCGGAACCCCCGGCGCCACCAGGGCTCCTTGTGGGAGGAAGATGGTCTGGACTTTGAACACTTAGCCTTTAGACCTGTGAGGCACTATTGGTGCTTCTACTCCCTCCCCCAGCTGGCCTGATGGACTCTGGCCAAGTGGCCCTGGGGAGTGAGGTTTACCGAGGACGGCCTAGCCGGCATCATGCTGTGGGGCGGTTTTCTCTAGCCTCCTTTCCACCCAGATCCCAGTGTTCTGGTGAGTGCCGTGGGCATGATGCCAGGAGGGAGGCTCATCCTGCTGGGGAGGGCAGGGCCTGGACCCCTCCTGGGCCTCGTCACCCCCACCATAAGACGTAACAAGCATGCCACAACGGTGTGGCTTTTCAAGAGCAGCAATGTGTTTTCTCACAGTTCTGGAGGCCACGTGTGCCCCAAATCAGGGCCGCCACCTCATCCATTCCTTCTGTGGGGCTCACCCCAACTTCCTGGTGACTGCCAGCCGTCCTTGGCACCCCTTTGCTGGTAAGCGAGTCTCCCTTCCCCACACTTGTGTGTGTGTGTGTGTGTCCACATCGACTCAGCTCTCTTTCTAAGCCACCGCTCGGAAGTGATTAGGTTTAGGACCCACCCTCCTCCAGTGTGACCTCATTAGCAGAACCCAAACCTCACGTCCAGTTAGGGCCTTATTTATAGGTACAGGGGCCAGGAGGAGTTCAGCACATATTTTTGGACAGTACAGTTCAAGCCATAACGTCTGTGTCTCCAGCACTCTCCATCCTGGTGGTGGTGGTGGGCCAGTGCCTGCCCCCAGCCTCAGTTTCCTCATGCACAAAATAGCAACACATGACCGAGCGCACACAGGAGCTTCTGCCAGATCAGGGCTGACACACGGCAGCCCCGTATGCTAGAGCGTAGCACTGCTCTGCCGGTCTTCTTGGCCATGATCTTTACAGAAGAATATCATCAGACCTCTCTCCCTGAGGTGGCTTGGTGTGTTATGCGTCTGGCTGCTAACCTACCGGGCCAGCAGTTCAAAACCACCAGCCAGCCGTAACTCAGGAGAAAGATGGGGCTGTCTATGTTTTTTAAAATTAATAAACCATCTTATCGAGGACTCTGATAGCTCTTACAACAACACATACATCAATTGCATCAAGCACACTTGTACATAAGTTGCCATCATTGTTTTCAAAACATTTTCTTTCTGCTTGAACCCATGGTAGTATCAGCTCCTCTTTCCCCTCCCTTTCTACTTCTATAGAGGGTAAACGTCTCAGAAACCTACAGGGGCAGTTCTACCATGTTCTATAAGTTACTATGAATCATAATTGACTCAATGTCAGTGGGTTTGGGATATATCTTACTGCTTGCTTGTTGGGATCCAACTGCCAGGCTTAGGTTAACATTCAACCACAGACCGCTTGCCTCACCCAGGGACCTCTCATCTCCAGTAGGGAGGCAGTAACAGTCAGTACTGCTAAGGACTGTTAAGATAAAATCCAAGTGGCCAGTAATCTCACTGTCAGGAGTAGTGGCATTTTTCCTCATTCAGCCTCCATCCCGTTTGTCCTCAGGAGAATGGATTTGTGGGTCACGCCCACCTTCTCGTCTGGGTTTGGCTCAGCGTGCTAGGCCCTGGGCAGGTCCATGCCACTGCACATCCACATGCAGCGCTTTCCCGGGACCCCTAGCTGAGTCCCACCCTCAGCATCCTGAGCCATGGAGCAGGCTGGGCTAGCGACAAAGAGCAAAGTCTCCCCCACTCTGTATTCTTTCCCCCAGGGACTTCGGGCCCCAGGCCCCAAGTGGAAGGTGGGACAGGTGGGGTAGGGGCTCCTTTCATTTAAACCTCTGTGAACCATCAGGGAACTCACACCGCACGACTTTCTTTCAGAGGACGTGGAGGACGACGTGACCAGGGAAGATGTCATCCTGGCCCCACCCATGCTCAAACTGCAAGTTGCGTCAAAGCCCCTGGACCTTCCAGTAGCAAAGGTGGGCGCCAGCAACTACCCCACCCCCCCCTTTCCTCCGAGGTGTTCTGTGTTCAGTATGCAGCTGACTCAGGGACAGCCGCAGAAAGGCGACTGCGTCCCTTCTGGTCCTGCTCTACCCCATTGCGATCTCGCTGTCATTGCTTAAGGGACATGTGGTGTGGAGCAGAAGAAAGCCTGGCTGGCCGTGTGGCGGGGAACAAGGCAGGGTCTCAGGTGTCTCAGGGAGGGACCATCCCCTCCGAGTCAAAGTGACGAGCATTCTTCTTTAGCCTCCCCATATGCCTGGTGGGCAGCTCCCGAGCTGCTGGGCCCCACCGGACGGCAGGGCGGGCGCCTGCCTCCGCCTGCTAAGCTGGCTGGGCTGGACACAGAGGTGTCAACAACTCATCAGCTCTGCCCAGGTTCACACCCATGGCCTCCTGCAGGGACCCACAGTCACAGGAGGGGCAGGGCAGGGTCCCAGCTTTGGAGGAATGTCCTGGCTTCATCGCTGTCCCCAGTTGCCGGGATGTCCTCACTGCTTCCCCTGGGCCAGGGGTCCCTCCCAGCCAGGATCCAGGAGGAAAAAACAGAACTCCTGGGGACAGGGCTGACCCCTCTCTCCTCTTCCCACTCAGCAAGTGTTTCCTTAGTACACAGATCCAAGAGGAGCCTCCTTCTCCTCCTCTCCCCTCCCCTATTTCTCCTTTCCCTCCCTCTTTCCAAATCCCATAGGGCCAGGGACACTTAAAGGGCCCAGGTCGGGGTGAGAGTGCTGGACTGTGTGTGGCCCCAAGGCTGGGATTCTTTGCAGGGGATGTCCCCTCCGCCCCACCCCACCCCGATTTGTGGAAGAGGCCCTGTGAGACAACAAAAGTGACCCCACTGCGGTGGCATCCATTTGGACTCATAGGGACCCAGCAGGACAGGGTAGCTGTAAATCTTTACAGAAGCAGACTACTGCCTCTTTCTTCATTGGAGCTGCTGGTGGGTTTGAACTGCCAACCGTCCGGTCAGCAGCTGATTGCTGCTGTGCCACAAGGGCACCTGGGAAATCCCCTTAAGTCCCCTGCCATTGAAGGAGTCAGTTCTGACTCATAGCAACCTTACTGACCAGGAAAGACCTGCCCCATTGACTGTAAATCCTTACCGGAGCAGACAGCTTCAGCTTTCTCCCTTGGAGCAGCTGGTGGGTTTGAACTGCTGACCTTGAGATTGGCAGTCCAATGCTTAATCCTCGGCACCACCAGCACTTTTCAGAAAAGACCTTCAGAGGTCCCCAAACATCACCAGTAGCTTTCCCAAAAGCCAGCCAAAGCTAGGTCCATGGGGGCGAAATCGAGGGCACACAGGGAATGTGGACCATGGCGGGGAGAACCCGGGTGTCCAGGCTCAGCAGCCCAGAAGCTGAGGACCGCTCTGCCTAGCTGGGAGCTGTGATGCCCCACTGAAGAGAACACAGACAGGACCACCAGGAACATATATGTCTGAGTTCAGAGGCTCCCGAGAAACAAAGGGACGATGGTAGTTGACCAAGGAAGGGGAATTCACGGCCCCCTCTTTTCTGTAGGCAGCTAGTCTATCACAGAGAGTTTCCTTACATGGGATGGAAAATCAAGGTGCCTGGTGGCTCTGCAGTGTCCTGGTGTCGTGGTTAAGCCATTGGGCGGCTAACTGCATGCAAGGTCCGCAGTTCGAAACCACCAGCTTCTCCCCGGGAGAAAGATGAGGCTCTGCACGCTTGTAAAGAGTTGCAGTCTCAGAAATCCACAGGGGCAGTTCAACCCTACCCTCTAGGGTGGCCACAAGCCAGAACTGCCTCAGCGGCAGTGAGTTTGGCATTTTTGGTGGCACCATGGGACCAAACCCACCGTAGTTCTTGGGAGAAAGGTGAAGCTGTCTGCTCTTGTAAAGACGATAGCCCCGCAAACCACAGGGGCGGCTCCATTCTGTTCTATAGGGTCCATAGGAGCTGGAACTGTCTCCACTCGAGTTTGGTCTTTCGATAGTGAAAAATCATCTCATCTGTAGGGAAGTCCTGACGCAGATTGGGAGCCCAGGGGAAGTGGCAATGGAGGCCACTTGCCGGTCCTCAGGGAGAAAGACGGGGCTTTCTACTCTCAGAAAGAGTTAGTCTCGCAAACTCACAGGGGCAGTTCTATGCTGTCCTGTAAGGTCTCCGTGAGCATCAACTCATGGCAGTGAGCTTGGTTTTGGTATCGAGGGTGTGCTGGGGCAGAAGTTCAGAGAAGACACAGCTGGGAGAAATGGAGGTGCTCCGCCGCGAGAGGTATCCTTGCACGGTGCAAATGAGTGTGCTTGCTAAGCTATGTTATGGAACGTGGGTGGTTTGAGGCTGCCTGCCTGTGCCTCAGAACAAAGGCTTAGCTATCTGTCCTTCTCCCCCGACCTCTGCCCCCCCCCCAAAAAAAAAATCCACCTCTGACTACTTCTGCTCTGACACCCTTGGGTCAGAATTGACTCCAGGGCAATGGTGAGTTTGGGAAGAGGTGAGCCCCCTTCACTGAGTGGTTGGGGTGTTCACGCAGAAGTCATGGGTGACCATTCGTGTGGGGTGGGGTGCCACACAGGGGTTTCTTTCACCTGTTAACAGGCTGGGCCAGAGCAAGGGCTGGTGCAAGGTTCCCCTCATGAGTCACACGGTGCATTTTGTGGGCTTTGTCATTCCGCCACTGTGGCACTTTGACACGTACTGGAGCATCTGACATTCAGAGGTCTGTATGGCCCTGGAGCAGTGGGGGATGATGCACGAATGGATGGGCATGGTCGTAAGACTTTATCTGCTAAGACAGGTGGCCCAGGGTGTGGTGGGGTTTGGGGCCCAAGACCATGGTTAACTGACCTTGCACTGATTCTCAGACTTGGCTACGCACCAGGAACACCCCGGGATTGCTTCCCAAAAGGCTGACGGGATTCTGACTTGGGGCTTCTGTCTTGGCCACTGACCTGGCATGTGGACTGTGCACCAGGAACTTTATCCTCTCCTTAGCCTCTTCTGATGCGCAGTCAGGTTTGAAAACCTACAGTCCTTGCTCAGGGAAGATGAGAGGGCCCCTGAGGGGCTTTGTAAAATGCAAAAGTCTTGGGTCTCCTGGTCCTCATAAGGGGCTGAAAGAGATTTAACAACAACAAAAAGGTTTATTGCCATATATCTCAGCTATTTTGCAACTTTGTTGTTCAATCCTATTGAGATTTGTGCAATCATTACCACCTTCAGTTGGAGAGCATTTTCTTCCGGTCCTCATTGTTGTTAGTGTCCTATTACCCCTCCATCCTCTCCTGCCATCCCCCTAGGCAATTATCAATCCAGTTCCTGTCTCTATAGATCGACCTATCTTGGATTTCATAGACGGAAATCATATAAAACACATGCAGAAGCAAACAAACAAACAAACCCACCAACAACGACTAAAGCAAAGCACAGCAAAACCTCAGTCAACAAGAAAGCAGAAAATACCAAACACCACAACAACCTTAAAACGGGCCCAAAGGGAGATGCACCGATATTTTAACCAAACTGCCTCTGCCATAACCAACTTCACAGTGCTCTCTGTCTGAAAGCAAGGCCGTTCACCTCCCTGGGCTGCGGCCAGAGGGCACTCACTCAAGGCCGTTCACCTCCCTGGGCTGCGGCCAGAGGGCACTCACTTGAGGCTTCACCCATGTGGGGCCCCGCAAATGGATTTTGGACTTCCGCTTGTCATCTGGGTGGCCTTCTGCAAACTGGCTGAAAAAGATGTTGACTCAGATCCAGCACAGTCTGGTTGGGGTGACAGATGCTCCAGAGATAAGACATCAGGGAACCCACTTCTCTTTCTCAAGTAGGAGAAGACTGAGTTTGCAAAATGAAAATGAAAGTGAAAATAGAGAATCTTGCCCCCCCAAAATAGGTCACTTCCCTGCCAGGCTTCTAAATCAACTACTGCAGGCATGGATACATTGAATATTGTGTGTATACATTAAATATAGTTTGGGTGTTTATACTGAATATAGTTTGTGAGCAGCCATCTAAGGTGCAACCACTGGTCTCTCTCCGTCCAGAGGAAAGAAGAGTGATAGGAATTAAAAGGCACATGAAAACAATCGGTCCAATGGACGCCGGGACCACACAGACTGTAGTCTTTACAAACCCGAGACCGGAAGAACTAGATAGTTCCTGGCTACCACGACCAGCGAAAGGCATCCCATTAGAAGGTCCTGGATAGAGTGGAAGTGAGATGTGGAACAAAACTCAGAGTCATCAAAGAGACCAGGCTTACTGGTCAGATAGAGACAGGTGGGACCCCTGAGGCTAGGACCCTTGTCACCCTTCAGGTCTGGAATGAACTCACTCCTGCAGTAGAATAAGCAACCAAAGGGTCAGGAGTAATCAGCCACTTCAGACCAAAAGCTCACTAGTTCGCCAACAACCAAGTTCAGAGGACCGGGAAAGAAGGACGACTGGGAACAGGACACACAGGGAGAAGGGGGGGTGGGGTGGGCACGAGTGTGGGGATGGCGATGGACGATGAGCTCCAACAGAAAGGTCTGAATCATCGCCTGTAAGACTGATGATCTATCTGCTCTGTAAACCTTCACCTAATTCACTATAAAAAAGCTAAAAAAAACCCCCAAAAGGTGGATTGCTACCACTCCCGTAGATAGCCCAGGGAGAGGCTGCCTCACCCTCGGGGATTTGCCTGGGTGTGCCCTTGGTGGAAATTGGGGCACTAGGGTTGTATAGTCGTGAGTCATACCCTGACTACCTTGGTCGTAGGGCCCTGAAACACTTTCGTAAGCCTTTTCAATCTGCAGGAGAGTGTGCACCCTAACCACAGGCTCTTCCCACTCCCACGGACCCCACGGACGTGGATGGAAGAGTCTGCTGCCCACCATTGTGTTTCCATTACTCATATCCCACTGAAGTGGCCGAGGTTCTGGGTCACCTGGGACGCCATGATGGCCTCGTGCTGATGGTCTCCCTCACCGGGATGGTCCCTGTCCCATTGATGACTATAAGTACATAAGGGCTCCATCATAAAGAGGCCTCGATCTGAAGTGCAAACCCCCCACTTGATTCACCATAAAAAGTTAAAATAAAACACACCAAATCCCTGATGCCCTCGCCACTTCTCTTTACAGGAAATCAAAACCCTCCTGTTTGGTTCGAGCACTGGCTGCTTCAACAACGAGTGGAAACGGCAGAATTTCTCCTTTAACGACACAGCTTCCCTGAAATACGGCATTGTGCAGAACAAGGCAGGTGGCTTCTGAAAGCACACGTCCTCCAGGGTCCTGTCTTCTGGGCTCACCCTGGGTAGGAGTGTGGCACTGCCCCACGCATTCGGTAAACCCTGGAAGCAGCCACTGGGGTCCCTAGCACCAGGGGACTTCACGTCCACCGGGAACCTCAAGCATGGCTGGTGGAGCAAGAGCGCTGCGGGGGCACTCGAGTGACCATGGGCTTTGGAGAGGCGCGAACCAAACCAGCCTATAAGGAGTACTTCCTGTGAGTGGTGTGTGGGGTGGTGGAGCCCTCAGTGAGAGCCGGCAGGAGGAAGCTCTGCGTCTGGCCTGAGCCCCCGGAGAGCAGTCCAGGGAGCAACCAAGAGAAGTTGCAGGGATTTTGCAGGGTGAGGTGGGGAAGGGGCGTCCCGGGCTAGAGTGAGGAGCCTCAGGAGAAGGCCAAGGTATCAAGCATGTGGAGCTGAAGGTGTCTGAGGAAGAGGGTGCAGTATAAGGCAGGGAGATCGATGTACGGAGGGGTTAGATCGCGGCAGGCTTTGGGTGCCCCGTTTCCAACACATCTCACAAGATGCACTAATCACGGACCAGTAAAGACTCCTAAGTCCAGGATCAAAGCCTGGCAGATAAGGCAGACCAGCTCACCCAGGGCCCATCGTGTCTCAAGAAATCCCCTGCCTCCTGCCTGAGGAAGAGCCCCAAGACTACCAGAGTCTGTCCTAGACTGGCTCAGATAAGCCCAGCATGTTGTCTTGCACGCCCCTCCCGCCCAACTTGAAGGGTACCCATGCCCACTGCTCCAGGAACCTTTGTACCTAGCCGGGGACAAGTTATGCTGCCTGGTCCATGGCCCTTTGCAGAGGTGATGTGTGGACCAGGCCCTATGCTAAGCTCTGTGCAACTGCAGATAAGCACCTTAGAGCGCCTTTGCTCTACTAAGTGGGGGTGGTGGAGTGGGGTCAGAGGGACTTATAATGAAGTTCTGAGGTAGGGTGCACTTGGGGCATAAGTGGATGTGGCCAAAGGGGTTCACTTCCAGCTGAGATGGTGGGGAGAGCTGAGAGGAGGAGGCTTTCAGGGTGGGCTTTGAATGGTGAACAGCTGGCTTGAGGCCCCTGGAAACCTGCTGTGAGGATCCTGGCTTCACACCTGACTGCTTGAAAAGAGTCCCCTTCCTCCCACCAGACACGGCAGGGGGTCTCTGCCAGCACCCCTGGTCTCATCACATGGTGCAGACACCTTGTTTCCAAGAGGGCAACTCAGCAGCCCGGATGTCCTGTATCGGTGGGCAGGAGGCTCTGTCCGGGCTGAGGCTCACAGGCAGAAACAGTGTCATTCTCCGCAGGGCGGCCCCTGTGGGGTGCTGGCGGCGGTCCAGGCCTGCGTCCTGAAAAGGCTCCTGTTTGAAGGAGATGGCCGAGCGGACCCTGCGCGGTAAGTCTGCTGCCCCGGACTGCCCAGAAAAGTACTATCGGCCCAGAAAAGTACTATCGAGGAAACGCCTGCGTTCCCCGACGTGCGTCCCAATTTCCGCGGGCATAGAGAAGGTCCCGGTGGGTGCAGGCAGCTTGCGACCCGCTACTCACCCGGAAGGCCCGTACTTTGAAGCCACGCAGACGCACTGCCACGTGCCCGGAAAACTCGCGGCAGCAGGGCTCCTTTGCCACGCTGGGGTTGTCCTGCGTCAGAACGGGCTCCACGCCGATGGGGTTGGCATTTTCTTTTTTCATTTTTGGTTTTTGGTAAAATACCAAATTCACCGCCACTGAGTTGATTCTGAGTCACAGTGATCCTGTAGGACAGAGTAGAGCTGCCCCTGTGGGTTTCCGAGGCCGTTGGTCGTCACTGGAGCAAGCCTCCCTTTTCTCCGGAGGAGCCACTGGTGCGTTCGAACTGCCAACCTTGAGAGTTGAGCAGCCCAATATAAAACCCACGAGGCCACTGGGGCTAAGGGAGGGGAAATGGTGACTGGTGTGAAATGGGCGTGTGTGCATTTGTTTCTAGAGGCAGGGAGGCTGGGGATGCGATGCCGTGTCCCTCCCGGTGGCTGCTGGACCTGTATCAAAACCGAGCCCACCGCCTCCCCTTCCCTGGGGGGCAACCCCTCCCAAGAGCCCTTGCCACACCCACGTCCATCTGCGGAAGGACGGTTGGCCAAGTCTGGGCGGTGCTCCCTCCCACGTGCCTTCTTCCAGCACACATGCCCGCCAGCCCCACAGCCAGCTCCTGCCCTTGCCTGGGCCCATGCAGTTTTTCCATTCCACACGTTAAGCATTTGCACATGGGCCGCTCATTCCTGCGGCAGTCATCACCGGAGCGTCTACGCAGGCGCAGCGGAGACCGAGGAGGAGGCACCGCCACTGTGGTCCAGGGCGGCTCTGTGAGGCTGAGGGGCGGGCAGAAAACCCTAGTAGCCCCCAGCCTGTGTTAACCACGGTTGGTGCAAATCAGAAGAACCTTCCTGCCCCTGCCCAATTGCTTTTCCAAAGACGACTGGACTCTAGAACCCTCCATTGGAGTCCCTGGGCGGTACAAAGGTTAGAGTGCTTGTTTTGAGCCCATCCAGAGGTGCCCTGAAAGAAAGGCTTGCACGCCTCCCTGCAAAACAACAACAACAAACATTATTTAAGGCATTTGGCTGATTTGGGTTAGGCATGTAATAGCCTTTTGAAAACATAAGCCTGCATGTTATGAGAACAAGAAGACTCCTTCCCAGTTTTTTAAGTGCTTAGGGTCCTGGGAAAGACACCGGCTTTTCAGGCATTAACCGAGCTCTGTTCTCACACAAAACACCTTTCACCTGCATGATGCTCTTTGCCTTGGACAGGGCCTGCTGCAGCTAGCTGTTTCTGGCTTAGCGGCTTATCATTCGTCGAATGGTGTTGCAAACTCGAGCTGTTTGCTCCCAAACCGAAAGATGGGAACAGGATCCTTTCATTGTCCTTCAGCTCGGCCTTTCCACAAGCAAGAGTGAGATCTCCCCTTGAGCTTCCTTTCCTCTCTTCTTCCTCGCTGGGCCCATCCCTTGCTTCCTCTGTCTCAGCTGGATCATACCGCTCTCCACCTCCTGCACTGCGTTCTCCACTTGGCCCAACAAAGTGCTAGTAGGCTTGGGTTGACCATCCCGGGCAGTGAGAAACCTTAGCAAGGATCAGAGTTCAGCATCTAGTTGTAGTTCAGGGACCCTCTCTGAGAGCATAGGTGCCCCCCTGCCTAGCTTCTTCCCTTCCTTTGGGAACAAGCGGAACACCCGCTGTGCCTGGTGGGTGGGGACTCAGGGATGGACAAGAGAGGCAGGGCTCTGCCCTCCTGGCACTAAGGGTTGATTAATAGGGTTGAGCAAATAAGCAGGCAAGTACAGGGGGCCACGCTCGATGCTAAGGGATTTCTCAGTCATGCAGAGGGTCCCTAAGGCTTCCTGGATTGAATCTTGCTGAGATGTTGAGGCTGGTTACCCCCTCTCTCACCCATATCCTGCACTGGCTTATTCCTCCGGGTCCCCCATGTTTCCCTTCCTAGTGAAGAGCCCCAAACTCCTTCCCTGGCCCCAGAGTCCTGTGAGCTCATGTGCTTTGTCTGGCTGGCTCCTCTCATGGCACAGGTCTCTGCTCTTCAGGGGAACCCTGGTGGTTTAGTGGGTGACCTGCTGGGCTGCTGAGTGCAAGGTCAGCAGTTTGAAACAACCAGCTGCTCCGTGGAAGGAAGAGGAGGCTTTCTACCCTGCCCTGTAGGGTGGCTGTGAGTCAGAATCAACTCGATGGCAGTGAGACCATTCTTTGGAGAAGTTTTCCTAGTTAAGAGGCATTTTGGTACTGCAGTGGATTAGGTGTTGGGCTGCTAACCTCAAGGTCAGCAGTTTGAGACCACCAGCCGTTCCACGGGAGAAAGACAAGGTTTTCCACTCTGGTAAAGAGTTATTGTCTGGGAAACCCACAGGGACAGTTCTGCCTTGTCCTGTAGGGTCACTACGAGTGAACAATGACTTGAAGGCAGTCAGTGTGTGTTGTCTGTCTGTGTTTTCAGACAGGTTAGGGAGATAGATGAGGCTGTCTCCTCTAGGAAAGGTTTACAGCCTTGGAAACCCTAGGGCCAGTTCTATCCTGGCCTGTAGGGTCTCTGTTGCGGCTTTGGCTTGGTTTGGGTTAGACGGTCAGCCAGGGCTCTACTGGGGGAGGGCAGGAGGAACTGCAGCCCTGAGGCACTGTGGCTGGAAGTACTGAAGGCCCTGGGGCAGGTGTCTGGAGGCAGTAAGCTCAGGGGATGAACTGAAACGGAGGCACTGATGGCCAGTTGGGGGTTCTGTGTGAGGCGAGCCAGCCTAGCACAAGTAGGGGACGCTGCCTGGCTGGACCTGAGGAGGCCAACCTGAGCAGTGAGGAGAGCTGCAGCGTCTGGTGATCAGGGGTGCCATCTCCAGGAAGCCCTTCTGGATTTCATCCGTAAAGGTTTGACCTCCTCTCTCTTTGAAGCCCCAACTCTGGGTGAGAACCAGTTACCATCAGGTGGGCTCTGGCCATGTGCCCCAGAGTAGAACTGATGCAGTTAGGTTTTGAACGGCTTGTTTTTTTTTTTTGGAAATAGTTGACCAGGTCTCTCGTCTGAGATGTTTCTGGGTGGATTCAAACTGCCAACTTCGTGGTTAGCAGCCTGATACAATAACCATTTGTGTCCCCCAGGGACTCCCCAGCTCTGGGTGCTGTCTGTAATTCCCTCCAGCTGGTTGCCCTGCGGCTGTGCACACAGATGTTTGGAGAAGCGTGTAGGCATGAGGGGACTGGCTTCCAGCTCTCTTTAGCTGCCGGTGCCGGTGCCCTTGAGTGGCATGTCCCCTGCTCTCTGGGGGCTGCTGCCAGGGCAGCAGGTGGGGGTGCCAGCTCTGTGGGTGGACAGAGAGCTCTGACTGATGTTTGGAGAGCTGGATTATAACTCAGGGAATTGATTCTTCCCTCTGCAAAGTAGGACGTGTCGTCTCCACCCTGCCTGTGCACCATTCTATGAGGACGCTTCAAAAAATGTATGGAAAAGCTCCATGTTCCTCAAATTCCATCCCTCCACACATGTTTGGGAGCCTCCTGAAAGAAGAGCATGCCTTCTGACACAGCATGCTGTACTACAGAGGGAGCAACTGAGGCCCGGAGGTGCTCAGGGCCACACCTGGCAGAGGAGGCAGAGCCGAGGCTGGCCCGTGAGAAGCAGCCTGTGAAGATGAGCCAGGGCAGAAGGGGAGGTGACTTTGTGTTTACTGAAGGACTCTGAGGAGAGCTCCTTTCCCCTAATTTGGAGGAGAGAAAACCCAAAAGGGTACAGACGATTAAATATAGCATCCGGGCCGCTATCCCTCCACCACCTGTGCAGGAAGCCCCGCTCAGGCCCAGCCTATGGATGCATTTACCTAGTTTCAAAATGTTTATTGGGAATCCCGGCGGGGGCGGTGGGGGGAACCACAAGGGTTACATGCCTAGCTGCTAGCCCAAAGCTGGCTCTTCCGGGGACCCACATAGCAGCCATGTGGGAGGAAGACCTGGCCGTCTGCTCCCAGCAAGCTTGTTGTCAGGCGCTGATGAGTCAGTTCCAATACACAGTGAACCTACAGACAACAGAACGAAGCCCTGCCCAGTCCTGCACCCTCCTGGCCCTCTCTTTCACCGCCCCTGCGGACAACATGTCCAGAGCCGTGGGACCAAGTCTCGCCATCCCTGCCTCTAGGGCTTTCTGGCTGAGCATCTTCTAAAGCAGATCTGTTTGTTCTTTCGGCAGTCCACGGCATTGTTCAATAACCGTTTCCAGCACCACGATTCAAATGCATCGCTTCTTCTTCGGATTTCCATGTTCAATGTCCAACTCTCACGTGCACTTGAGGTGACTGAAAATATTTGGGGTTCAGGTGAAACTTAGTTCTCACAGTAACACCCTGGCTTTTTCAGCCCTTAAAAGAGGTCTTGTGCAGCAGATCCACATAATACATTGTGTCCTCTGATCTCTTGAGTGCCGTTTCCTTAGAAAGTTTACAACCTAGTGGACCTGATGGGACGGTTCTCCTCTGCCCTCCGGGGTGCTCTGCATTGGAAATCGAACTTGTTGCACACAGCGACAGCAATGGCAACAACAAACTGCTCTTACTGGTCCAATGGGTCCCCCATGCCTCCCACAGCCTGTGTGAGCTGGCTTGGGTTTGCAGCCTGAGCCTACCTTCTGGACTCTCAGATCCCAGGGCTTCACAAAATGATCCAGCCTCAGAGCAAAACTGAACAAAGCACAGGACCCAGCATGGGAGGGGTGGGGGAAGAGCAACACTGTGCCCCCTCCGGGAGCAGCAGCTCCCTGCCTGGCCCCGAGGAGCTGTGGGGCCCGAGGGGGAGGGCTCAGCACGCTGCTGCCTGCTGCCGGACTGGGGCTGGGACGCAGGTCTCTCCCGCTGGACGGCCAGTCGAGGAAATGGTTCTGTGAAAGATGAACAAAAGATGTTCGGTTCTCCAGGGAAGCCAGGCTGAAAGAAAGACTTCTTGGCAGGGGCTGTGTTTGTTCGGCAGCACTGTCTGGCTTCATTAGGACGAATTCCATCAGACCTCAATCGGAAAGGGCAGAGGCAGGCAGCAGACGGGTGTTTTTCCACTTGAGTTGGAGGGGCTGAGAGGGGCCCTGGGCCAGCGAGGGAGGGAGGTACATGCCCGCCGCTCATTTCCCCTGCAGGCCTCGAAGAGCAGCTGACCAGGATGGGCCCCAGAGGCGGCCCAGGGCCCATCCACTTTCCTTCCACTTCCCTGCGGAACAGGGGGTGTCTGAAGCCCAGAGGCAGAGGAGCACTTGCTCAGAACCCCTCTAGACCCTGGCAGCAGAGCCGGCTTTGGACCCCTGGTCCTCTGCCTCCTTCCCACCCCTTCCAGGGGCTTTTGACCCTGAGAGAGAACAGAAAGGATGGGGTGACTGGTCCCTTCTTGTTCTCTCGGTAGGAGCTGCACGGTGCTGGCAGGACAGGTGGGAAACTCAGGCAAAACAGAGTGGGAGCTGTCTGCCTCCTCCACTTGCCCATCCTGAGACAAAGATCTTCATCGGACTGGGCTGCTCCCTGTGGAATGAGATCCTTTGTCAAGAGGCATCTCTTCTCTTAAGGAAACTTCTCTGGATGTCTTAGGGGCCTGGCTGCGGGTCAGACCCCTTGTAGGAGTTGGCTGCAGGGGTTCAGGCCATCACGGAGTGTCTGCAGGCAGGGGCGGGGACCAGTGGTGGGGTGAGGGGCCAGGGTCAGGCAGGTCTGAGTGCAGCACTTCCTCCCTTGTCATTGTCCCCAGTGGCGGGTGCAGGTGTGCGCTCGCAGGCATGCGCAGACAGTGCATCTCCAGGTGTGTGCAGCGCTGCCCCCCCACCCTCCAGAACCCTGTGCCTTCCTTTAGGGGCAGGCAAAAGCCAGGCTGGGAGCCAGGAACAGAACGCGGGACTCCTCACAGGCCGGCGAGTGTCCCTTCCACAGCCTCACCGTGTTTTCCAGAAAGAAAGCCGTGTCAGAAAAGACCCAAGTTGGAGAAGGCCCGGGGGGTTGGGGGTGGTGGTGAATGACCAAATTACCTTTGCTTAGCCAGGAGGCCCAGAGCTCCTGTGAAGGGTGGTGGGAGAATTTGGAAACTGATAGTGGCTGTGGCTGCACAACATGGAAGAGCGGTAATCAAAGTCCCCAAGACATGCACATGGGAGACTGGACAGTGGTGCCAGAGCACTAAGGGGGGTGGGGGCGGGGCAAGCGGGAGGGAGGTCCTGCGGGTCAAGGGGCAGAGCTGGTGGGACACGCTGTCGGTCTGCCGTGGGGGGTGAGATGGGCGTGAAGCAGGAGCTGTGCATGCAGGAGGGTGGTGGCCACCTTTCTGCCCAAAGATGTAAATGCCCGATCCTTTCTCCTTGGCCTCACAAGTTCTTCCCAAAGGCCCCACTCGTCCTTGGGGCGTCCTCTCCCGCAACCTCCAACCATGTTTTTGAGCTGTTGTTTGTACAATCAGCAGTGACCTTGGCCATGGCCCGGCAGGCGCTCAGGCAGCCTGGCTTGGCGATAACACAGTGACCGCTTCCTCAAAGGAACATGATGGGTTTCCTGGTGCGGATCGGCCATCTGGCTGCCCCTATCAGGGCTATTTTTCTAAGCCCCGCGGCGCTTGTTATTTGTCTCATTCCACACGAAGGACTTCCCCGTGTCAGGGGCTTAGTGTCACTTTTACGGCCATGTCAGGGGCTGCCCTTCCTGTGGGCAGGGCCCAAGCGGGCACTTGGTGTGTTGAACAGCACAAACGGAGCCCTTCATCTACTGGACCCTTCCATGCTGTGCCCTCCCAGTTCCCGAGCAGTCACCCCAGGCCAGGCAGGCTCTGCTCTGGTCCCTGTAGGCATGTGTTGAAAGCACAAAGGGTCCCCGGCCCAGAAGTTCAGCCTGTGGCTGTCAGGTGCCCTAGAGGGGACCACAGCTCACAGCGATGCCATGCCGACAGGGTAGAACTGCCCCGTAGGTTCTTTCAGTCTGACTCCTTTGTGGGAGCAGACTGCCAGGTCTTTCTTCCGCAGCACCATGGGGTGGGCTCCAGCCGCCAGCCTTTTTGGTTAGTCAGTAGCCGAGCTCCTAAGCACTGCATCCCCCAAGGCTCTTTCACTCGACCTGGAGCTGAGGCCCCTGTGTGCTGACTTTAAAGCACAGCAGTACACACCCGTTCATTTCTCTGAGCCCCAGCGGAGTCTTCAGCAGGCCTCCTGTGTGACTGAAGAAGCAAGACCCACTCAGGCTACCCCTGGTAAGGATTTAGAAAACTCTGCAGCACCCAGGGTGGGAAAGAAGCACAGCCCCGATCCAGCCACAGTGGAAGCAATACGGTGCCACCTCAAACAACAGGGACTGGAAGTCCCAGTCAGTTCAGCCAGCCTTCTGCTGGGTAGGTATCCTGAAGCGTAAGAGTCATCACTCCGAGAGACAGACAGACAGACACACGCCCACGCGCATGCTCAGTGCAGCACTGCTCACAAGAGGAAAGGAGCAATGTGGACATCAAAACTGTGGACCACACACACAATGGAATACTGAAACAAAAAAACTCACGGCCATCGAGTCAGTGCCAACTCATGGCAACCCTATAGGCCAGGGTAGAAGTTGCCCTGTGGGTTTCTGAGGCGGCGGCGACTCTGGGAATGGAAGGGCCCGCCTTACTCCTGCAGAACCGCTGGCCGGTGGTTTCCAGCTGCAGACCTTGGGGTCCCAGCGCAGCTCGGAACCACTGCACCACGAGGACTCCTAATGGAAAACTGCACACCGCTTGAAAAACAGTGAGGGCACGTTGTAGCGTGAGACATGGAAAAAATGATAAATGAGCAAGGGTTCATGAGGGAGTGGGGGTGGGAATGAGCTCTTACCAAGGGCTCAAGTAGAAAGAAAATGTTTTGAGAATGATGATGGCAACCCATGTACCAATGTGCTCGACACAGTGGATGGATGCATGGATTGTGAAAAGAGCTGTACAAGCCCCCAATAAAATGATCAAAAACATAAACAACGGTGAAGCCACGAAGCACCTCAGGCACAAATGGGCCCGGAGAACTTCACGCTGACGGAAAGGACTGAGCCGCAAAAGGACAAATAGTCTGTGAGGCCATGGTTATAAGTGGGGGGAAATCCACCACAACACATTAAAATCCAAGCGAAAGACATCCGCTCCCACGGGAATGGACTGGGCAGACGGCCAAGGGCGGGAGGGCGAGAGAGGGGAGAGAAAGTCAGGAGAGACACGGCTGTGATGGACAGAGAGACCCCCAGAGGAGGAGAAGAGTAATCATGGTGGGTGGAGGGGAAACTTTTGGAATGGGGGTGGGGGTGTTGATCAGTAATTTAAACCGATGAATACAAAGTTGATGATCCAAAAGGTAACCCCCCTTCTAATTGATAATTTAAAACAGAAGAAGGAGCGGGAGAGAGCGGGCGGGGGAGGGGGAGGAGGAGGAGAGTCTGTAGGAGCTGTGAAATCAGTAACGGCTGTCTACTGGAATCCCTGGGTGGCAGAAAGAGCCGACAAGGTTAGCATGCTCAGCGGCCGCTAACTCACCCAAAGGTTGGTGATTCCAGTCCACCCAGAGTTTCCTGGGAAGAAAGTCCTGGCCATCCCCTGAAAAGCCAGTCACTGATAACCCTAGGGGACACAGTTCTACTCTGGCTCACCTGGGGTCACCAGGGGCCAGAGTCCACTCCACAGCAACCGATACTGCCCATCTGCTGATTGCGCTGGTTGAGGCTCTCGGGTGGCTCAGCAGTTAGGGGACGGGCTGCTAACGGCAAGGCCAGCAGTTTGAAACCACCAGCAGCTCCATGGGAGAAAGAGGAGGCTTTCCACTCCCATAAAGAGTTACACATCTCAGAAACCCACAGGGGCATCCCTCCCTGTCCCACGGGCTCTCGGTGGGCGGCGGGTGAGGGAGCCGGCATCGACTCCAGGGCAGGGAGCTTGGTTTGGTGCTCTCCCTGTGCTACCTCATGGCCGTCCTTCCTCCGTCTCCTCCTCCTCCCTCCTCCGAGCTGCCTCCTCCTCCCACTGCGCAACCTTGGCCGCTCAGGTGCCAAAGACGCCCTACATGCCGATGATTTGCAAACCCACCTTCGGCCCCTCCTGGGCTTTTGGTGTGTCAAGATCTTCTCCTGGGGCCCCACATGCACCCCAAGCTCAGTGAGCCTGAGCCCTGGCACTCATTCTCCCCACCCCCCAGCCTCCTCCTCTCAGTTGGGGGTCCTGCCATCCACCTCTGAGCTCCTGGAGGGCACCTTGAGTCCTTCACTCCGTCATGCCTGTGCCCTGAATTGAGGTCTGCAGCAAGCCGGTCTGCCTTCCCTCCTAGCTGCCCGCTGTCGAAATGAGGAGCCCTGCCTGGCTGGCCAAGGGGCTGTGGGGGATGGTCCGGGGGAGAACCAGGCCGTGTCTCCTCAGGCTGCCGAAGCCCCAGGGCATATAGGGGTGCGTCTGGCCTGTGGGACTCGTGACCCACTCCCCCACACACTCCTGGGCCCAGCTAGCCCTCTTGGGTCTCATTTCCTCCTGCAGGTGGTCTCCTCAGCCAGCCTCCTCCTCCCGAGGCCCTCCGTGGAGTCCCGGGGGCTGCCACTGCCCCTTTGGGGGCAGAAGGGAAGGTCAGCACCTGCTGACGGGGCCCGGCAAATGCTGGCTGGCGTGCCGGTTTGGTCTCCGTAAGCACAGACCCATTCTCGTGTTGTTTTCCCTGTCCGCAGGCAGTTACAGCCTTCAAACTCCCACAGGACCCATTGCCTGGCCCTGGCCATTGCGGATATTCTGTGGCAGGCTAGGGCCGAAGAGGGAGTCGTGGTCACACTGTAAGTGCTTCTAGGGGCTCTGGGACTGGCAGACCGTGGGCAGGCCGGCTGGGCTGTTTCCTGTGCGTGGGGAATGGGCGGGTGGTAGGCTGGGGTCTGCAGGCCCCTCACAGGCCCAGCCCTAGGCCATGCTCCTCAGTGCTGGCCCCTTGAGCAGGTCTCTGTGTGTCGGGGAGGGAGTAGGGGTGGGAGTGGGGGTGGCCTGCAGGGAGATGGATGAGCAGCCCTGCACTAGGAGAGCCTCTAGACTCTGACTCCTTTTCAAGGGGATGGAGATACGTACCTGGCCTCCCTCCCTGGCAGTGATGGCCAACATGCTCCTAGCAGCCCACTCCCCTCTGTAGTGATCGGCCCAGATGATGGTCCCACCCCTTATACCACCCATGGGCACCTGCTCCCCCAAACCCCCAAAGCACTCATTCATGTTCCCTGGGACCCCTGGCCCATGGAGGGGGAGATGCAGAGAAGGGGGCTGAGGGGGTCTAGGTTCTAGTTTCATCGCCCTGCCCAGCACCCCCTCTGCTGGATGCTGTTCCTCTATGTAGCACTACATGTTCCCACATGTAGCCCTTCAGAGGGGGCTGGGGTGGTCATCACTTTAGGGGCCAAGCTTCAGTGAAGGGCACTTTTGGGGGCCACCGGCCACCGTCTGGAGGGCACAGTGGTTAAGAGAAGGGGCTCTAGAGTCAGACCCCCCAGTGCTGTGTGACTCCACACTGTCTCGTCTGCCCCGGGCCTCGTTGCTTCACAGTAACTATCACTTAGGGTGGTTGCTTGTGCGCATGACATGAGAGTCTGCAAATGAACGGCTTCCAGTGTCCATCCCTGATCTATAGATAGCAGCAGCGCATGGGGATCAACGAGGAGGGCCCAGGGTGTGGCCAGAGCACCTGACATTCTCCATGCTGCCGGGATCGGATGCTTGCTGCGACCTGCTTGTCGTGGGTGCCTGAGCTGCAGTTAGCTTATTAACCTGCACCGTCAGGCTCAGCACGCGAAGGCCTGGGGCAGGAAGTCCGTTTCTCCCTGTTGTGTAGACGAGAAAGCAGAAAGCCAGAGAGGGGCAGTGACTGGTTCAGGGCCACCAGCAAACCAAGACCCACCCTACTCTCCAGCCATACCTCAGGGGAGGGTGGGAGCACACTGGGTGCTGGGCACAAAGAGGCCACGTAGGATGGAAGCTCAGTGAGGACAGAGGCTGGTGTTTCTGGTGGCCCTGAAACCAAACTCATGTCTGCATCCCTTTTGCTGGGCGAACATTTCCCAGGGATGGGTGAGAGTCCGGCTTCCTATTGCCAGGCCGAGCTCTCCTTTCAACTGCTGTGTGTTTTTTTTTTGTTTGTTTCTTTCCCCTCCCCCTCCCCCTCCCCCTCCCCCTTCCCCTTCCCCTTCTCCTTCTCCTTCCCCTTCCCCCTTCCCTGCCCCTTCCCCTTACTTTCTTTTTTTTTTTTTGCCCTTTACTTTCTTCAGCTAGCAGAGTTCTCAGGGCCCAGCCTAGTGGCTGAGTTCAAAGGAGGCGAAGGAGAAGTCCTTGGCTACGTTCTTTTCTCCGGAGCCACCTTGGGACCCGTGCTCCTCGCTCCACGGCACATGCGTTTTTGCCCTGGCTGCAGGGCCAGTCCCTGCCCCGGGCGGAGGACTCAAGCATCTCCCTTTCCTTTTTAGGGCTTCGGGAACACAGCAGTTCAGTCCAACAGGGAAATACAAAGCAGATGGCGTCTTAGAAACAGTACGGCTTTCTGGAAAAAAGGATCACGTAACCTTTGGCTTTGTTTGGGGACGGTCTCCTTTGCCATAAGTGAATCCTTCCCCAGCCGGCACCGGCTAGCCCGCCGTCAATGCAGCCCAGGCCCTCGGAATCCAACCCCTGGGATTGGGGGTCTGGGGTGGCTTTGGGGATGTCCCTGCTAGAACTGCTGACATTGTCCATAGGCCAATCAACTCCCTGTTTCAGGGGAGGTTTTACAGAGCCCTGATGCCCCAGCCTTCTCTCTGCCCCTCTGTGTTACGGGAGGGCCATGGGGAAGGGGAGGCAGTGAGGATGTGAGGAGAACTTGATAGAATGGCTCACCAGGAACAAACTCGAACCTGACCCTTTGGCTGGTTTGCCAAAGGCCAACTTTTGTTAAAACCACAGTTCAGAACAAAAACCAGAGAGAAGTATGGCCATATCAAAAGGGAACAGATAGGTTTCCCCCGCACCAATCAGCCATCTCTTTGTTGAGAGTTTTTGTTTCAAACAGGCTTGTTTCATTTGAACTAGGCTTGGGCACGTGCAGCCAGCCGCGGAGCCCTAACGAAGCCTCGCACCCTTGAGACATTTTTGTTTTTGTACATGTGACCAGGCTGGAAAAGCAAAGGTGACCCCTAACTCCTGCTTCCTATGGCACTGACCTTGGGACACTGCCTGCTGGGCTGTGAGCCGGGCCTGGCCACTGGGGTTTGCCCAGGTGCACCCACCCCACGCCTCACCCTCTTCTTAAATCCCATTGACTGGCCCACGGGCGAGTCACACCCAATGATTCCAGGTTCTCTGGGCTTTTCCCCGGGCGTCCCTGAGCCTGGCCAATCCAAGTACAGACCCAGCGCTGCAGCAGGCCCAGGCCCAGCATCCCCAGCGGTGCTGGGCAAGCTACGAGAGCTGCTTCCCTGCCCCAGCACCCTGGTTCTTCAGGGGTCCATCTGTCGCTTTCCCAGAGGGGCCCTCGCTGCTGAAGCCAGGCCCCAGAGGCTGACCTAAGCTGGGCCTGGGGGGAGGGGGGGCGCCCTGGCCCATTCACCCCATGTGTCTGTTCCTTCACAGCTCACACTCCACAGCCTGACCTGCTTCGAGGAGCTGGCGGTATTTCTTCAGCAGAATATCCAACAGGTAAGGACGGTGGCTTGTTAGTGTAGGTTGGGCCTCCTTAAGCCTTTGGGTTGCTTTCTGGAAGAGACGCTGGTGAGATGGAGCCCCACTCCCTGCCCCCATCACGTACCCTGGAGAGGAGCTGACACAGGGATCCAACCTCTGCCACTGATGGCTTCCTCGGGGTGAGGTGGGGTGAAATGAGAGAGAGATCGGTATTAGACCAGAGCTCCAAGGGCTGTCCATCTGTCCAGGTGGCAGTGAGCTCTGTCCCTGGGTGGGCTGAGTGCCAGCTGGAGAGGCAGGCACATGGGCAGGGCTGGGAGGCTCTGGTCTGAGTCCTGCTGCTGTACCCTGTGTGTAGTGCAGGAGCTTGCTTGGTGGCCCCAGGGAGGCAGGGCTGGGCCAGGCAGCCTCTGTCAAACCCAGTGGGCTAGATAAAATCCCAGCTGTGACCAGGGGTGGGACTCGGTGAGGATCAGGATGTAGTTCAGGCAAAGGGCTGTGGTGTCAGGACCAGCACCCTACCCCTGGCAGTCAGAAAAGGGCTGTAGTGTCCCTGACTTGTGGAATGAGAGAGGTGGACCTTCCTGGACCAGGATCAGGGCCAGGAGCTGGCTGGCCTGGGTTTGGAACTAGGGCGCACCCTTAAGTGCCCTGTGATGTCCCTGTGAACCTTCACCATGCCGAACCTCAGTAAAATGTGCAGAATAACCTTGCCTCCCTCGCTGTGCTGTGCAGAGAGCCTGGGACAGTCGTGCCTTGCCCTGCAGGCTCAGTAAGTGCTAGCTTTGGGTGTGGGCAGGATAATCATGGCTGTTATGGTTAGCGAAGGGCAACCTTGAAAGATAAGCTAGTGTTTGGATAGTATGAGCCAAGGACAGGAGACCAGATGGCTGTGGGGAAGCTATCTGGCCATGAGAGAGAGAGAGAGAGAGAGAGAGAGATGTTGCTGTTAAGTGCCATAGACCCGGCTCTGACCCGTAGCTCCGACCCGATGCCCAACAGAGGGAAACATGGTCACAATTGCTCCTGTGCCTGAGCCCATTGTTGCAGACACATCTTTTTGAGGGCCTTCCTCTTTTTTTCCTGCCCCCCTGCAGAGAGAGAACAACGAAAACCCAAACCCACAGCCGCCAAATCAATTATGGCTTGCAAACACCCTCTAAAGGGTTCCTGGGACGCCACCTTTACAGAAGCAGATGGCCTCATCTGTCTTCTGAAGGGCAGCTGGTGGGTTTGAACTGCTGACCTCTCGGTTAGCAGCCGAGCATCTAACCCATAGCCACCAAGCCTCATCATTCTACATTCTCGGTGTCAGGATAGAAGGGTGTAAGCAAACTCTCTTTGCCTTTCTCTCAGCACTCTGGGGAGTGGAGTCCCCTCTTGTAGCCTCCACTGGACATTAGGAGAGTTGTTGGTGAGCCCGGAGAATTAGACACTTGCTGGACGTGGGACCTGGTCTAGGGTCCCTGCTGTCAGGGTACTCTCCCCATGCAGAGTTTCCTGAAGGTTCTGTGTCCCCTGCCTGGGGTCTGAGCACAGCCAGGGCCTTAGGAAGCAGGTGTGAGGACACTGGAGGCTGAGTCTCCTGCAGTCCTCTTACTCAGCCCTCTGGGAGGCCTGGGGCCCTGTCACAAACCTGCAGGTTAGATGATGTCCTTTCAGCACTGGCTTTGCCATCCGGCCTGCCAGGAGAAGGGGGGCTCTGGCAGGGGGCAAGGGGGCCTGGCTTAGGAGCCTGGTGCCCCATGCTGGACTGTCATTTGGTCCCTGCCCCTGCTCTCTGTGCATCTTCTGAGCAGCCTGGTAGGCTATCCACCGTCACTGTGTGCTCCTTGCCTGGCCCGGGCCAACCAGGGTCTTGGTGCAGGGGCCCAGGGCCTGTTTGGTCCACTCTGCATTCCCATGCAGCCCTCAGGGTGTCTCAGGGCTCCTTCTGGAAAGCGGAAGATGGAGCAATGGCTGGATTCCTTCCAGTCCTTGCTGTGTGTCCAGCGTGCTCGTGGAGGCATAGCAGTAGAGACAGAGGGCATCAGCAGAGAGCAGCCCCCAGAGGAGCACAGCAGGCTTGGCAGAGTGAGGGCAGTGAGGCGAGGAAGGCCCTCAGCGAGATGGAGATGGAGTGGCAGGCAGGTGGCTGTTGCTGCAGCATGAGAACGGGCAGAGTTTCGTTCAGTTCTCTGCGGCGTCGCAGGGAGTCAGAACCGACGCAGTGACACCTGCCAACCACCACAGCAACAACACACACACACACACACACACACACACACACACACACACACACCGCAACATGTCTGGCTTCTCGTCTCAGAGTCCAAGAGGCTGGACTTGCACAGCCGAGTCTCAGCTGTGCCTGCTCCGTGTCTCTGGTGGTGGCCACGCTGGGCTGGTTGCCTCCGTTCTCTCTCTAGTGCTGCTGGAACGGGAATACCACCAACGGGGCAGCTCCAACACACAGAGAGTCCGGAAGCTGGAATTCAGGGGAAGACTTTCTCTCGGGGCAGCTCTGGAGGTGGGGGCCTCGTCTCTGTGAACTTTGGCTTCTGAGCCACCTTCCTGGGACCTGGCATCTCTCTCCCCCCATCTCTGCTGCTTTCCCTTAGGCGCTTTATCTCCTGCATAGCTCAAAAGAGATTGCTTTAAGACACACACACACACACATACACACACACACACACCACTAATCTTGCCTTATTAAAATAAAAATGGCAACCCCTTTGTAAATGGGATTATAACCAGAAGCCTACAAAGTTAGGATCCATATGGCATGATTTTGGGGGACACAGTTCAAACACTGGTCATTCTTGGTTCCTTGGCTTGTAGAGAGGCCTCACTTGTCTTCCCTGACAAAGTCTGCTTGTCTCTGTGTTGAATCCGCTGCTAATTTATAACCCGGAGGGTGTAGGACACCCCCTTTTGAGAAGCCATCACATTGCCTTCACAGGTAGAAACCCATCGCCGTCTTCTGGTCGTTTCTGGCTTATAAGCCCAAACCCAAACTCACTGCCATCAATCGGGTCAATGCTGACTCCTGGCGACCCTGTAAGGACAGGGTAGAGCTGCCCCTGTGAGATTCTGAGACTGTAACTCTTTACAGGAGTAGAAAGCCTCGTCTTTCTCCCTTGGAGCAGCTAGTGGTTTCAAACCGCTGACCTTTTCTGGCCCATAGCAACCCTACATCAGGTTTCTGAAGCGTTGTAAATCTTTACGGGTGCAGGTGGCCTCATCTTTTTGCCCCCAGAGTAGCTGATGGGTTTGAACCAGTGACCTTGTAGTTAGCAGCCCAGTGCTCACCCAGAAGCAATGCCAGGACTCACATCCACTGGGATGGGGTTAGCATTCCAATACAAATCCCGGGGGGGCGGGGGGGGGGGAGTGGGGCGGGGCGACACAAGGCACTCTTAACACTGACCAGCTGTGGCCCTTAAAGAAGCATGTTTCTGAGATTAAGCCCTGCTCCATCCAAATAAGCACAGAGGAAACTCACTGTGAAACCCGTTCCTCAATGGCCCTGGCCTCCATTTAGGCCCCAAGGTACACCGTTCCCATCGCCAGGTACCGCTGAGTGGGTTCCGACGCACAGCCATCCCACGCGCACAGAAGGAAGTGCTGCCGGGTCGTGGGTCATCCTCACCGCCATTATATGTCGGGACCCAGCGTGGAAGCCACTGTGCCAGCCCATTTCATGGAGGTCCAAGCATGATGTCCTTTTCCAGGGACTGGTTCCTCTGGATACCATGTCTGAAGTGCAAGAGACAAAGGCTCGCCACCCTTGCTTCCAAGGAACATTCTGCCTGTACTTCCGAGACCAATTTGTGTAGGCTTCCGGCAGTCCACGGCACGCTCAGGATTGTTTGTCGACACCCACACTCGAAGGCATCTGATCTCCTTCATCCTTCCTATTCATGGCCCACCTCTCACAGACACCCGAGGTGGCTGGAAGTACCAAGGCGTGGGTCGGGCACGCCTCCCTCCTCAAGGTGAGACCTCTCTGCTTTTCAATACTTCAAGGAGATCTTTGTGGCACATTTTCTCAGGGGACGCCAACAAGTTGGTGGGAACGTGGACTCCCCCCACCACCCTCACACAGCCCCCCACGTCCAGCTCATTTCTTCTGACTGCTGCTTCCTCGAGTGTTGATGGTGGATCGGAGTGGAATGAATTCCCTGACAACACCAGCCTTCTCTCCACAGACCGGAATGCTGTCTGGGGGCCCATTTGTTTTCTGTAGGTTGAGGTGTTGTTTGTACTGAAGGCCGTCGTCTCTGGTTGTGTTAGTCTGGGTCGACCAGAGAAACAAATCCAGAGACAGTCATATATGTGTTAGACAGAACTTTATATCAAAGAACAATTGTACATTAAGAAAGCATCTGCGCTAGTCTGGGTAGACTAGAGAAACAAGGGTAATTGTACATTAAGAAAGCATCCCAACCCAGCCCAGTCCAAGCCCATACGTTTGATATTAGCCCATATGTCCGATACCGATCTATAAGGTCCTCTTCAGACTCATGAAACAAATCAATGACGCCAAATGCAGGACGATCACAGACCAGTGGGCACAAAGTCTTGTGGGTCCAGTGGTGTGGTAAGCATCTCAGCGCTGGCAGGGCTCTCCACGTGGCTTCTCCAGGTCAGGGCACTAGCGCAGTTCCATGTGTCTTATCAACTACAGTCTCCCAGGGAGTAAGGAGTGAGAGAGAGTCTCTCCCGCCTCCAAGGAGGAAATCTGGAGTTCCCAGAATTCTCAGGAGAAGGTCATGCCCACACAGAGGCTTCATTGGCAATGATCCAATCGACAGACTAGAGTCCACCCTTCACTCTTAATTCACAAACTGACAAATGATTATATAACTACCACAACATCCTAGCCCAGTCCAGATGAAGTCCATACGTCTGATATGACCCCATATGTCAGTACTAGTTCATAAGATCCTTCTTAGACTCATGCAGCCATGCAATGACGCAGAATGCAGAAAGATCACAGGCCAGTGGGTGGAAATTCTTGTGGATCCAGTGACCGTGGAAATTCTTATGGATCTCAGCGCTGGGGTGGGTCTCCATGTGGCTCCTCCAGCTCCAGGGCCCTGGCTGTCGTCAGCATAGCAGGAAGACAAAGCAGAGAGAGAGTTTGTCTGGCTCCCAGTGAGATATTTATCTCAGTCACGCCTCCAAATGAGGTCATCAAGCTGCGACCTGATTGACAGGCCAGACTCCACCCCTTCACAAGTTGACAGGAGATTATGTAACCGCCACACTGGTCTTCAGCAGTCCTCTTCACTTCAGCAAAGTCACAGCGTGTTGGGGCTCTTGCTCTGATCCTGGCGCCCCTTCCCCTTCCCACAGCCCAGCCTCTCAGATGGTTTGCTCAGCGTCCATTAGGATGCTCCGCATTCACTTACTATGATGAAAGGATAAAAAGCAGACACACCTTTCCTGAACTTCAACCCCTTGCTTTGTGTGAAAGACAGCCTCTCGTTTGGTCTATGCACAAGTTCTGCATGAGCTCAGTCGAGCATTCTGGGATTCCCATTGCTCACAATGTTAGCCATCACTTTCTATGACCCACGCACCCCAAGGCCTTTGCCCAGCCACGGAAACACAGCGAGCCCATAGCCCTGGTATCCTCCACCGTGAGCCAAGCACCTCTGGCATCAGCAGCGACATTCCTCATCCCGTGTGTGCTTCCGATTGTGGCTTGGCTTGCTGACAGGTTCCTCCTGGTCGATGTGCCATGTGCCGCTGCAACCATTTGGAGCTGTCTGGGGGAAAATGTCGCCATGAGAGTGTGATATTAAGGCTGCTGCTGGTTCAGAATTTCCAAATTCCTCGGCACGGGCGGTCCGTCGCTGGCCTGCCCCACCCTGGAAGGCAATGCTGGCTCTTTGGCAGTTGAATCTGTGTTTTTGCTGGATGTGGTTCCGCTGCCTCAGCACTACCCTCACCAAATCCATTTTTCATGGCCTGGGCCTGAAAGTGTCTCTGCCCAAAGTCAACAGCCTCCCGGCTGAGCACTCATGACCACTCACCCTGAGGCGCGGTGTCTGGCAGGCCCCAGACAAGTCGGGGAGGTGCTCCCCCGCCCCTACCCCCTGTTTTCAACTGCCCTTCCTTGGTGCCCGAGGGGCTGGGTGGGAAGAATGGCCTCTTCTTCCCAAGGGGCACCAGACACTTTCCTGGACCTTGCTGCCGGTCTCTGGCCCAGAGGCCGGCATTTGCCCTCTTCTCCAAGCTGGCATGCCTTCCATGCCTTGGCAGCTGGGATTTGATGTGCTCACTTTCAATGAATCAGTGTTTTCAGAGCAAGGTGGAATCCTGGTGCCATCTGGCAGGGGCTGTGTGCCCACCCTCTGCTGTCTCCACTTGGAAGGCAGGACCGTGGTCAGGTCTGGGCCAGGCCTCCTCGGGTAGTCTCCCTGGACTGTGAAAGGTGTTGGCGTGTGGCCCAGGGATGGGGATGATGGTGCTGCGGATGGGGGTCCTGAGCTGATGGCAGCTCCCCGGGGGAGCCCACATGATGGAGTAGGACTGCCTCACAGGGTTTACACTAAGCTGTACAGGTTTTTGTGGAAGGAGATCCCTAAAGGCCCAGAGTGGATTGGAACCCCTAACCTTTTCCTTTGCAGCCAAGGGCTCACAGGCTGTGCCACCAGGGCTGCACCCAGACAAAATCACCGCCCACCCTCACATAGAGAGCTAGCACTGGCAACGGGCCTGCATGCCCGCTGCTTCGCCATCGTCCAGTGAGTCGGTGGACACACAGGGCAGGGCAAAGACCGCTCCCCCAAGGGCACGTGTCAGTCTGGGGCAGACGTGGGCCGGCGCCACAGACTTAGAAACAGACACAAAGCTGTCCCACGGCAACAGCTCGTCGGTGACTTCCCCCAGGGGACTGCAAGTTGGTCACACGCTGGGCTGCTAACCCGACAGTCAGTGGTTCAAAACCACCCACTGAAGCAGGCGAGCATGCTTCCCATACCAGAAGACGGGACAGACATGGAATCAGTAGCGGCGCTGTGCCAACGGTGACGGTGGCCAGTGAGCTCCCAGGCCTCTGTCTACCTGCGGGTTTGTCAGGCGGCTTCCATGGACACCGCCCTAACGCCTGTCCACAGTATCCCAAGGGGAAGCAGGGACAACAGTAGCTGAGTCACTGGCCAGAGGCCACACAGTGAAGCTGAGGGCGATGTGAGATCCTAGCTGACAGTAGTCACTCCTTCCATTTCTCCTCCCCCAAAGATGGGCGGGTGCGTCCATGGAAACCAGCACTCCCAGAGCTCATCTGGGCCCTTCTTATACTTTTCCTCCTGCCTGGACCAGGACGCCCTTCCCTCCGATGCTTGCTTGCCCCACAGATTTCTGGTCAGACATGTCTTCCCCTGGAGAGCCTTCTTCAGCGTGCCCACCCTCCCACCCGGCACATAGCATGCCCCCACGACCCCTCTTGTATTTCCAGAGGACCCTTTGGTTTCCATAGGAGCAGAGCCCTGTCCTAGTCTTCAGTTCGCTTAGTGTTTCTTCCTCGTGGGGGAAAGACGAGGCTTTCTGCTCCCACAGAATCGCAGTCTCAGAAGCCCACCCGAGGGACACTACCCGGCCCTACGGGGTCTCCATGAGTCAGAATTGACTTGATGGGCCACTAGGTTTAAAAAAAAAATCTTTTTAATTGATCATAACCCTTCACCCAAGTCACAATCCAGGGTGAGCAAGAGAAAGAATAAGTGACCTGGTGCATCCTGCGCCCAGTGAGCTGACTGGCCAGGTGGACAGCGTCCATCGAGCCGGTGTCAGCAGCTAAGGCAGGAGCCCGGCCCCTGCTGCGCTCCTTACAAGGATGAACTCAGTCGTAGCCACAGCCGGTGGGACTGGGATTCTTGTTTGATGGAGGAGAACACTGAGCAGTTGTAAGTGTTCTGGCGGGCCCCCAGCTAGGGGGGGCAGAGCCAGGCCTACCACCAGGCAGCCAGGCCCAGAACTTGTGCTTCAGGGCAGGGCCAGAGGGAGAGGGGGTCCAGAGGGAGGGCCAGGGCCAGGGGGAGGCAAGGGAGATGCTCTTTAGGTGTAAAATTTGAGGACTTGCCAAAAATCCAGTCAGAACAAACATTTCCATGCAATATTTACAAAGAAAATAAAAACTGAAAAAACCAAGATGTGCAGAATACCAGAAAAACTTGTCAAAGATAAGATCAGTTCCTGAGTTTACATGGTTCACGTTCCCTCGCCAGGACCCCAACTCTGCTCTCTGCTGCTCTCTGTTCAGCCCAGCTCCTTTTGGGGAGGGGCTTGGAATCAGCCGGACACGCCACCTGTCCCCCAGCCCAGAAGCCCAGCCATGCTGCTGACAAGCTGTGTGACCTTGGGCAAGTCACTCAGGGTCTGAGCCTTGGTTTCCTTACAGGTTATCAAACCTGCGTTCTCCTTTTAGGACAGCAAGCCTCCGTTCTCCTTATAGGACAGCAAGCCTCCGTTCTCCTAGGACCTCCAGCCCACTGCCATCGAGCCAATTCTGACTCATGCTGACCCTACGTAGTGTTTCCAAGACTGTAAATCTTTATGGAAGCAGGCAGCCTCATCTTTCTCCCAAGGAGTGGATTTGAACTGCCTACCTTGTCATTGGCAGTTCAAGAGTGCCTGTCAGGCCCCTGAGGTTCCTTCCTGACCCGATAACGCAACCCAAACTCCCTGCCATCGAGTCCGTTCTGACTCATAGCAGCCCTACAGGACAGGGCACAAGCTGCCCCTGTGGGCTTCTGAGGCTGTAACTCTTCACGGGGGTAGAAAGCCTCATCTCTTTCCCATGGGTCATCTGGTGGTTTCAAACTGCTGACCTCCGTGGTTAGCAACCCACTGGGTAGCCCAGTGCACCCCCCCCTCCCCCAGCTCCCTTCCTCGCAGGAGGGAGGGACCACAGCAGCGGCACAACCTCATAGGCCGGCTGGAAGCACAAGCTGTGACAAGGCGTGCGTTCCCCGAGTGCTCGTTAAAGTAACCGAGGCGGCCACCCCTGTGCTACCCCTAGCTTGGAGGACATGATGGGTGGGCTTTGCAGTAGATCCACGGTGTCACCCACACCTGCCACCACTGACACTCAAACTGGGGACCCTGTGGCAGTCCAGGGAAACAAATTCATATGGGAAAGAACCTTATATACAAGAGCAATTGGATATTGAGAAAACATCCCAGCTCAGTCCAGATCAAGTCCATAACTCCGATATTACCCCATATGTTTGATACCAATCTATAAAGTCCTCTTCAGACTCACGAAACACATGCAATGACATCGAATGCAGGAAAATTACAGGCCAGTGGGTGCAAAGTCTCGCAGATTCAGTGGTGGTAGAAGCATCTCAACGCTGGCAGGGGTCTCCAGCTCAGGGTACTAGTGTAGCTCCATGCGTCTTGTCAGCTGCAGTGTCTCCCAGGGAGTGACCCTGTGTCCTGCCTCCAGTGAGCTATTTATCTCCTTAGTGCCTCCAAATGAGGTCATCAAGCTGCCACCTGATTGACAGGCTGAACTCCACCCCTTCACTCTTAATCCTCTCAAATTGATACAGATTATGTAACTACCACAGCCCCCCACTCTTGCTCTGCCTTGGGACATGGAGCCACCTTCAGGCTTGTGCCCTGGGTGTGGCCCCCAAAAGGGGGCAGGGCTGGGGGAAGGGAGAGGGGCTTGTTAGGTGCTCACCCCATTCTCTCCCCTGCAGTTTGAGGCAGGTCCTTACGGATGCATCCTGCTCGCCCTGTCTGCCATCCTGTCCAGGTCCACAGAGCTGTGAGTACCCACTTCCCTCTGGGGGTGCCCTCCTGCAGACGATACTGGCCAGGGGCCAGGCCTGCTCCCTGCAGCCTCCTTGGAGCCTGGAGCGGAGCTTGACACTCAGAGTTGAGTCACCACAGGGCGAGGGGCGGGGGGCCGAGTGGCATGGGCAGCCTCATTCTGCACCCCAGTGTACCCTGCTGCCTCCCCTGGTTTCCCCAGATGTGCCGGGGGGGGTTCGGGATGATGGGAGACACACCCGCCCTCAGTGGGACTGCAGCATGTGCATGCTGGGAGCTGACTGGGGGTGCTGCAGGGCTGGGGAGGGTGGACCCGTTTCCCTGAAGTCCCACTAGTCCTAGAGGCTGATGAGGCTCAGGGTGTGGGGTGGGGTCCAGGGACAGCCTGTGGGGAGAGGCCAGGGACATATGCCTCTCACTTCTCTGGCTTCTCCCCAGGCTGGTCACTCAGTGTGTCCCTGTCTAGGGCGGCCTCCTTGGTGGCCCAGCACCAGCTTCCCCCATGGCGGGCATTTCCCAGTGGCTCCTGGAGCCCCCGCCCCGCGCGGTGTGTCACAGAGAGAGGGAGGGCCATGGATTCAGAGTTGAGCCCTGAGTCTTGAAGAGCTTCTCTGGTCACCCTACTGGCTTCTAAGAAAAGGGCAGACCCCGGGACGGGGTAGAGGGTGGGGCGATGGGGTGGGGGGTATGGGAACTTAACCCAAGGCCAGTGATTAGGATTCTGACTCATCACGATCCTACAGGGCAGGACACAACTGCCCCTCTGCAGTTTGAAAGACTCTACAATCTTTGTGGGGGCAGGCAGCCTCATCTTCCCCCCCCCCACCCCCCGAGCTGCAGGTGGTGGATTTGAAATGCTGACCTTGTGGTTAGCAGCCCCGTCATGGGCTCCATCCAACATGAGGACCGTTGCGAGGACGGTGCAGGACCCGGCAGCGTGCGCTCTGCTGGACGGAGCACTGCTCTGAGCCTGAGCGGCTGCCCTGGGTGCCCCAGCAGCCTCAGCAGGAGCAGTGCTCCCGTGACAACCTGGGAGAATGAAGTTTACTTTTGGGGGGAGTGTCTGTTGGGTGTGGGAGCCCTGGTGGCCTAGTGGGTTGAGAGCTGGGTGCTAACCACAAGGTCAGCAGTTCGAAGCAACCAGCTGCTCCGAGGGAGAAAGATGAGGCTTTCTGTCCCCATGAAGTGATCTAGTCTCAGAAACCCACCAAGGCCGTTGGACTCGGCCTGTGGGGTTGCCATGCATTGGCACCGACTGGATGCCAGGGTTTTGCCTTTGCCTCTGTGTTTTCAGTCTGTTGGGTGTGACGGTGGCTGAGGGAGTAGAAGTCTGGCCTGCAGTTTTGGACACCCGAGTGAGATTCCTGTCAATGCCCCTCATGCCCCTACCGGCAATGCCCGTCTGTCAGAGGCCTGTGGGCGGCTGAATCGTTTTTTTGAGGTGCTCCCAGACAGACACTAGGCAGAAAGGCCTGAAAAGGCCCGGCCGACAGTCGGTCAGTGAACACCCCGCGGGTTCCCAGGACCCAGTCTGTTCCCCGACACGGCGACGGAGCAGAGCCGGCAGCATCTGCTCTGCTGTGCACAGGGTCGCTGCCACCGCTGCTGGGTTCAGGGGAGAGGGGACCAGCGGTGGGCGCCCAGCCTGGGCGGGGGTGGGAGGATCACACCTGCCTTCTGCTCCAGGACCCAGGGGGCTGGCTGTGTTTCCCGAGGCCCCGGCTGCTGGGGAGGAGGGCTCCCCATGTGGCACCAAGACCCACGACCCCCGCTGGCTGGCCTGCTGTGTGCGACTCCTGACCTTATTAAATGCCAGCGTGTACACACATTTCTCAGTGCAGCTCGCCCCTAATCCTGCCATAATGATATGATTCATTCCTGGCCTGTGCTCACGTGCGCGGAGAACATTACCCTCACTGCCTTCTCCCGGGCCTGACTCTGCTAACCCTTGGGCAGACCGACAGGGTCGGGCGGGGCCTCTGTGTCTCTGGGTGACTCCCTCCCTGAGCTAAGCCAGGGACAGGCCATGGGGTAAAGCCTCCCTGGGAGACTCTCTACCTCAGCTGTGCAGGGGGCCGTCTATGGGGAACTGGAGGTTGCTTTTGCCCACTCCCTGAGCCCATCCAACCTTGCCAGACCAGCTGCCTCCTGTCTAGGCTGCAGCATCTGTGGGCACTGGTGTGGGGAGGCCACCTTGGGGGACCTACCTTGCGGGACCTTTAGGCCTCATGGTTAAAAACCCATCGAGTTGATCCTGGCTCATAGGGGCCCTATAGGATAGGGTAGAACTGCCCCTGTGGGTTCTGAGACTGCCACTCTTTACACGAGCAGAGAACCTGGTCTGTCTCTCGAGGAGAGGCTGGTGGTTTAGAGCTTCTGCCCTTGCAATGAACACCCTAACTCATCCCCTCCATGCCACAGGGCTCCTGCCTCATGCTAATGGGCCTGCGGTCGGTGCCCTGCTTGCATCTCTCCCCCACGCCTCCGTCTACCGACACACACACACACACACACACACACACACGCATGTGTGTGCGCCCACACATGCATGCACACACATACACACACGGACACACGTGCACACGTACACACACATG